TTATACGGTCTCATCAGAAGGACCGGTCTCCACGTCCCACAGTGGGATTCGAACCCGCGACGTAAGGATCAACTCCTTACGCCGCGACTCTAGTGCAAACGCTCTAACCACTGCGCCACGGACTACTGTAGGTAAATCGTAGTCTATACTCATATTTCCAAAAATAGTTTATTGAAAACTTATTCACTGTTTCTTGAATTCACGGATTTATCAACACCGTGAATATAGCGAATATTTATATACATAATTTACATATACATATTTTGTATGGATGGCTATTTTCCCCCTATACAGTATCTTAATAAGCCATTTCTCATTCAAAGAAGATCTTGTTATTGGTGATTTAACTACCATTCTTAACTCAATGATGTTTTAAATAGATTTTGAACAAAGGCATCCACAACGCTCAAAAGTAACTTTATAGGAAATTTCAAATCAGTGTTTCATCCCGTGACAGTAAGGTACAAGTCGCATTTATTCGTGTTCGCTGTCTCACCGACAGACTTCTTATTCATCTCATCATTGTGTTCTGTCGAAATGTTCGTGGATATCTGAGGTGCAAGGTAGCCTGAATCGTCATTTTGATGTTTCTTTGTGTCATCACTAAAATGATTCGAGTTACCAGGTTCTTTGAAAGTTTCCATTTCATCTGTTATTTGATTTGGCGGAATCATATGAATGCTTTGTAATGATTCATATGACTCTGAGTCAGAATTTCCACTTTTGTAACTTTGTTTTGAATTACTTCTTTTCTTTTTGTCTCTGTTACACTTGGTTTTTATTTGTATGGTAACATAGATGGATAGTATTAATATAAACACACCAACTAACCCCATTACTGTGACCAGAGTCAGATAAAAAGCAGAGAGCTCCACGCTCTGGTCATCTGCATTAGCTTTTGTTGATATTTCCCTCTTTATATGACTTGATAATCTTGATGCATTAAGTCTATTGTCTTCTGTAGATGATGTTGAAGGTGGGTCATACATGTATGTCTCTGCAAATAGACATAATATTGTATACCACTACATAAGGAAAGTATAAATCTAAATATAAGAGCAACGTTCATAATGTTGTTTATGAAAGAATCTCTAACTGATGAGCCTGTGTTCGAAAAAGCGCTATATAGTGTTCGCGTTTGAAGTTGATCCAGTAGATCGTTTACCATTAATTTCATACCTACTAGTATACCAAGTCAAAATGACTGTTTTCCAGTAATAAACATGTACATAAATATATATTATCATTTTAAACTCACCCAGATAGTTAAACAAAGTTCATTTCCCATATTATCAAAATCAGGCCATTTTTATGTATATTGAATTTCAATAAAATTGATATTAACTGTAAAATGAGAAATATGAAAATCTAAAACGAGGGAATAATAGTTAAGGAGAGGTTCTCGGTTTTTGATTCATTAAAATATTCAAAGTATTTGCCTAATTGTAATAAATATTGATAATAAGGAATGTTTGTCTTTTCAAAAAATACCAGAGTTACAGTCCACTTGACCTTTGACTTTGTTTTCACAAATATACTCCCAACAGTTATATTTACGACTTATTTTAGGAGGAATATATATACAGTCAAACGTCGTTATCTCGAACTTGATAGAACTGAGAAAAAACTGTATTCGATGATTCGAGATACCGATAGTAAAATGCTTAAAGAATATGTGGTTGGGACTTCCAAATCACTTCGACATGATATACATGATATTCGAGATATCAGTGTTCGAGATACCGAAGTTCAACTGTATATATATTATGTAATCATGAAGTATATGAAAGATAAACTACTCTTTTTGAGAACAATGAGCACTTTTATTATTTTGCTTCACCGTTACATATGTATTAACTGACCTGTCGGGAATACACATCCAATGAATGGGCTACAAAACTGACGCCTGCATTTACAAAGATACTGACATTCAGTGCCATAGTTGGGATAAGAGCAGATCTGTGAGCAATCTTCTCCAAAGTATCCTCTCTCACATTCTGTGAATCAAGTCGAAAAAAAGAAGGTAAATCAGGTACAGATATTTTATCTTGAACCTCGTATACTTAAATAAAGATACCCAAATGTTTCACCAATTCTTGCAGGTTTGTCTGGTTGTAAGTTTGTATGTCTATGCATTTCTGTTCTCAGGATGTTTCGTAATACTTATTTACAAGCAATATTAAAGTAATTCTAATTTTATCCAGGGAGCTAAGAGATAAATCTATTTTGGTTAATACATAACTACGCCTATATATGTTTTTTTTTTCAGTTTTCTATTTTTAACACTTTTATCTGAGATAAGAAAATCATGGGCCACAACGCTCATCTGTTTTATTTTGGCCATTTATTCTTCAGAGGAAGAATTTTGTTTTTAATTTTCATCAATGTTTTGATCTCATTCTGTGGCCTCACCCAAGTCTCAAAGAATCACATAAAATGGGGATGCTTCAATATGAATACATGTAACATGGTCTTACTACCTGGAAAGTTTTTTTTCTATACATATTAATTAGGTAAAATTTGATTCTTGATTTAAGCGCAATCTTAATCCAAGACCCATGGTTGAAAGAACTGAATCCACACAGCTTAGAAATGTTTATATATCAATAAAATTTAATTTGGCCCTGAAGCAGTAACTCCTGGAAGCATTTTTTTTTTTGTAATTATAGTGGCCTAACCTTCTTGTGGAGACCATGATTTGATTCAAGGATGTTGGCAAGATCTTAAATGTTTTTCTCCTATACATTGCTTTGTAAAACTTTCATCCCTTTTTGTAGCCCACATAACCCAAGAGACCGCGATTTCGAGGGGAAAAAATCAAACAACAAAGCATAAACCTGCACCGTCTGCAGACGCTTGCTAGTTGTGGTCCTGTTGTTAATGATTTTTCTCTGTGTATTCTATTGTGAAACTTTGATCCCCTTATTCCGGTGCGAACCTTTCTTTAGAGGCCTTGATTTGAACAGATGTGATTCTTCTATACCTGATTATGCTTGAATATATAAATAATCAAGACCCTGTTATTTTTAAATTTTAAAAGACTTTTTCCTATACATTTCCCATGAAAAATTTGGTCTTCTATTGTGGCCACACCCTTATCTCAAATTCCATGATGTGAACAAATTTAAAGTCTGTACTCTCTGAGAAAGCCTGAATATTGTTATGTCTAATCATGTCCCTATTGTTCTTGAGAAGATTTTAAATGCTTTCCTTCACTTTCAATGTAAAACTTCGATAACCTATTGTTGCTCCATCCTACTCCCGAGGTCACGATTTATACGAACTTGACAAACTTGAATTTGTGTCGCAGTGGTTGGAGCGTTTGCTCTAGAGTCGCGGAGTACGGAGTTGTTCCTTACGTCGCTGGTTCGACTCCCACTGCGGGATGTGGACACCGGTCCTTTGGATGAGACCTTATGAACCGAGGTCCCGTGTCCAAGTAGGCGCTGGTACAAAAAATAAACCCTCACTGCTCAATGGCAAGTGGTGGTGTTTCAATATGAGTGAAAAATTCTCAAAAGTAAACTTAAACAAAAAACAAACAAACTTGAATTCACGCTATTCCATAGAGCTTTCACAAAAGTTTCTATTTTTATTGCCCAGTGGTCCCTAAAAAGATTTTAAGACACCACCCTCCTTTTGCTTTTTCTTAGTTATCTCCTCTTTCCAGAGGGTATGTCTTCACTTGTATAGTTTTGAATTTCTTTGAACCAAGGATATTTTGTGCCAAGTTTTTTTTAAATTGGCCCAGTCGTTCTGGAGAAAAAGTCAAATATATGAAAGAGACGAACAACAATTTGATCTCTTCCGGTTCACGTGACCTAAAATGGCCAAGTGGATGTGCGATAGCTTGCTTGTCGTGCGAAATATGTGTACAGTCAAATATTCTAATTCTTTAAAATATTAAATTATTTTTGTTCCCATTAACATGGCCAAGTTTCTGCGACAGTAGTAAATTCAGTTCTTTCTCTTTTAAGATCTAGCCAAGCATGAGACCTTAGTTTGTAATATTGGTCATGGAGAACATCTCAAGAAAATATTTAAGGTGGCTAGTTTGTAAAGAAATTGACAAATAAAATTACTATAATACCCAAAACATTGTTTTACTAGAGCTAACATATAAAGTTTTTAAGAGAATCTAACACATTTTCCAATAATAAGTATACATAGATCTTGTTCCTCAAAGGCGGACGGATATAAATCAAATAGATCCAAATTGGGGAAAACATTAAAATGACATACAGTTGCACAAAATATTACCGGGTTTTCAAATGCTTCTCAATGCATAATTTAATAAAAAGAAATTGAAGTTGTAAAACGTCTGTATCAATATCATCAATAAGCTATTCAGAAACATAGATACCTTAATCGAAATAAACATCTAAAATTAATACACAGAAAGTTTCAGAGAGAGAGAGAGAGAGAGAGAGAGAGGAGGGAGAAAGCCAATTATAAATGTCGTTTCTCATTATTGTCTTAACTAATTTAGAGTATTACTCACCCTTGCATATTCCGTATGTATTATCCCAATAATGACCGAAACAACACTCTTTTCCTCTGGATCTATAAACATGAAGAACAGAATATGAGAACTATTCATTAAACACATTTTTAAAGTATGATTACTATCAAATACATAAAGTTTCACAAACCTTGGACAAACACATTTTACTGATTTAATGTAAATAGCAATATTAAAAACAAAAAAGAATCCCATGCTGTATGATAAAAGCCCCATTTTTCAAATGATATAATGCTATAATAATGATATCGAACTGCAGACGACACGCTTCCGGAATATCCCAAACTTAATTGCAATTTCCAGTGAAGGTATTGGCACCACACCAGTGAAATAAATTTCATATTTTAAGTCATATTTGGTGAAGATGTTAACAATTAAAAAAAAATTTCCATCCTTCATGACAAGTTACATCTTTCTATACACTGAGTCGTTCAAAAATTTCCATAACTTAATTTTTTTTTCAGGTGTGGAGGTGTAAAAGTCCGGTAATGATGAAGCGGTTGCTGATAATCATTATTTTCTTTGTAGACATGGTATATATGCATAGAAATAGATAAGTTAATGTGTTACTTCAAATTAGTTACATGTAGATCATTACTTCCAAAACTCTGTTATGAAAAATAATATTTTCGAGTTTCTGTCCAAAATCAGTGAGCATCATAAATTGGTTAAAAGAAAACCATACTTGTTTTATCATCGAATTGTAGACAAGGTACGTTCGAACAAAGAACTGCACAATTTCAACGGCAACAGTTCAGTATGTGAGTGCTTGTCCAACAGATGAACTGACTTGGAAAAAAGCTGCAAAAACAAAGAACTGTGAAAGTCTCGCAAGCTTTGCTGTAACAGAAGGCTGTGCTAACAACCCGTCCGATTTTGTCTATCATTGTGTAATCAATCGTTGGATGAATGCAACACTAGAAGTTTGCGCCCCAACGCGATACATGCAATGTAAATTTCTCCAAAGTATAGCATAGTAAAATTCACTGTTTATTAGAATTTTGCCGTAATTATTAGTCAGTGGTATTTGAATAGTTGCAGTGCATAATACATTGTAAAGTAAATGTGATATAAGCCTTACAATGAAAAAAATTACTGAAGCAAAACATTAACAGGCACTAGTAAGACACTCTATACTCAATAGTATATTATTACCTTGATTTATTTTACGTTATTGTTTTATAAACAAATCAAATTCGATCTTTATATTTACAGCTTTCTGCGTTGATTTCGACACTGAATTAGCCAGAATTACAGAAAATTATAAAGCAAATTGTAGTGTCCTTAAACCACCCTGTCCACCAAGGTATATTTCAACAGATGCCTACAAATGTAAGTTTAAATCACACTACAATGTTCTGGTTATCAAAATTCTCTTACCATGTTATATATAAGAAAGTCGTGTTTTTAGCAGTCAATCAACTGGGTCTGGAATTTTCAATGACATAATAATAGTAAATCAGGATGTTGCTTGCATTTTTTTGCCATATAGATTATATTTTTGTCTTTATATTTTCTGTGTATTTTCTGTAGACCAGGGTTGTTACGACATTGTTAAATTCACAACAACCACAAAAGTCACAACAAACGCTACAGCAACGACTGCTTATAATCCAATGACGATAAAAAGCGAACCTTTTCAAGCTCAGTTAGGTTTTTCTTAACATTTCTAATTGAAAAAAGTTCTCGCAAATTTAAAAAGCATTTAAGCCACAAAAAATATAATGATATTTTCTACCTGAACAGGTGGTAACGGTTCTTGTACAGTTTTGAAAAGTTATCAAAAAAGCATATAAATTCATTAATTCTTTCCAGAGTTGTTATTATCGGTGCTGTTCTTGTGGTTTGTGTTGTTTTCATTCTTGCAATCCTCATAGTTTCGGGGTTAGGCTGTTATATAAGAAGTGAGTAGAACGTTTGAACAAACATAAAGAACTCTCATATGTTTCGCATTGTTTGTAGTCTAAGTATTTGAATATGTCTGAAAACGTACATAGAATAAGTTATTAACATTAGTCATTCGTACCAATATTTTTTCCAGAACTAAAGAAAAGGATTAAAAATTTGAGTGAAGGTTCACGGGGTAAAATATATTTTTTTCTTCTATCTATGGCAATTATAGATTTTTATTTCCTAAAAATTCCTATTTTTTGTAACGGTTTACATCTTTAATTCATAAAATACCCCTCTCTTAAAAATTCAAGTAACATAACTTGCATGTATATTTGATTATCTGTCGCAGACGGAAGTGAGATGAAATTGATGGACGAGAATGGAGATATTGAAAACCAAGGTATAAACCCATTAAATACCGTTTTCTCCAAACTGAACTTTAAGGTATTTTAACAGCTAATTAAATTCATTGTTCATAAAGTTAAGTAGAAAACAGTTTATAACATATCCATTGTATTTGCAGATGGTCAAACCGACAATGCTAAGCAAGACAGAGCAGAGTACATGTAAGTAATTAATTATAACTATAGGGTAAATTTCCAAACCATCAGGTATAAATTATCTTTTCATTGCTAAAGTGAGTTTATCTATTGAGGTAATATAAAAAAAATATCTTATTTACAATTCTGTGCCTGCAGATAATAAAATTACACATTTAATTGGAAACATCGGTTAAATTGTTATTATTCTCACGCATTCTTGATATTAAATTGTTAGGAGTCTTTCGCTTGAATACTGTTCGTTATCTCCATATTCATCTGTAATGACTAGAATTTTCTATAAGAGCAATGGCACACAATCTCAGAATTTCTCCAAATTCTCTTTGATAAAAGTCTTTGATACCATTATCTCAAATCAGGCAAAAATCGGTTGCTATGTGTCATGGTTACCATGTTAACTTGGGCCAAAATAAAAAATAGGTTTGTTTCCCCTAACGCGACCGACCCACTTAAATCGTGCTGACTGAAAAGTTTTTTTAATAGGATTATTCAAATATTTATTTTTATTGTTTATCAACTTTATAAAATGCAATTTCATCAAAATTCGTTTTTTATCAGAATGGCGGCTTTTGTTTTACTCTCATTTGGCGCCCACAACATGTGGCCACAGAAGGTTATTTAGTGTTATAAAACAACGGCGATGTATCAATCTTAATATACATCTTTAACTTATTAGAATCCTACACTCTTGAAACATTTCGTGAATTAAATATACCATGACTAAGAAGTGTTAAGATGGTGTTTACAAATTGTCTTCTAAAATTAACGTACGTAGTAAGCATGACAAAGCCTGCCTCATGAGCAGATGAGGGGCCCACTTTGTGTATGCATATCAATAAATTTCACTGCATTTCATTCGTTTTGATCTAAAAAAAAAACACTTCATGTACGATTCTATTTTTACTATGTAGGACCATAGGATTTGTAAATATATCTTTGTATAATTATTTCATCTTGATAAATATAATTCGGATGTCGTTTCTTCATTCCTTTTATTTATGGGGTAAACTTAGTGACTATAACATTAGATATATGAAATTTTAATCATTTTAGATATGGTTTGGTTGAATTAAATATTGTTTAAACAGGTACTCTCTTTTCAAATAGTGTTGAAATCTTTAAAGTTGGCTTATGGTACGGCTTTCTGAGACGTCCAGTGTAATTTTCTTTTCTTTAGTTGGGCCCTTGAAAATAGGTTGTTTCTTTGCTTTAAAATACCTTTAAAAATTGCTGGGTCGACAACATTTGAACACCTGCCTGGTGGAGGGCTCCTAATTTAGACTTTTTCTCGGCACTTATGGCCATTGATCATACATGTAAAGCATCAATAAGGGATCTTTATCGTGCCAACATCTACATGTATACTGTGACACTGCATGGCCCTACGTTTTTACGGTCTCATTTGACTGACCAATTTCCACGTCCCACGTCGGGACCTGTGACTTAGAATAAGCTCCTGAATTACGTCGTGACTCCAAAATGAAACAGTAAAATTACTGCGCCACGCGAGGCCCTTGACATCTGTGTAAGCACTCGAAGATGATACAGTGCAGGGAACTAATTTTGTTACATAAACCAGCATCAGCATAAGCATTAGTAGCATCAGGATCAAGCTAGCATCAGCATCAGCATTTAAAAAACAGCATTACCAGGATCAACATCAGCAAGCAAAGGATAAAACCAGCATTGACCTACATAAAATCAGCATTATCCTACTAGCATCAGAAAATCAATGAGTTTTGATTCAGTAAAAAATTAAAAAAGAAAGAAAGAATATTGGTTAAAGTATTCACATTATTGATACACAGTGAGAAATTATGATCAAATAATTGTAAAAGGCACTTTTATTGCTTTAAACGGCAATGCTGAAATTCATTATCTACTTCCGGTAGCATGATGCTACTTCCGGTAGCATTGACCTAATTATAAAACAGCATCAGGATAAGGATTACTAGCATTAAATCAGCAAGCAAAGGAAGGATTCAAATCAGCAAGCAAAGGAAGCATTCAAATCAGCATCGATGCTGTAACAAAATTAGTTTCCTGCACTGTAGTAGGTTTAAAAAAATAAACTCGGATGGCCGATGGTTGAGTATTTGCGAATCTTGTCTTTTTGTAAAAATTCAATTTCAATAAATTTAAGTTCAAATGAATAATATTTGTGAACTAATTTACCATACATGTTAAATTTCATTTGTATGATATTCGGTTTAAAAAATTGTTCTTTCTTATTTATACAGATATTATTCAATTTTCAGAATGTATTTTCAAAACTGCTGTCAGAAAAAAAAAATAATTTACCTACCTACCTACTCAACTTGAAATTTTAGGGTCGGGTTAGGGGAAACAAAGATATTTTTAATGATGGCCTTGCCCTGAAGTTTAAAAATGGCATCAAAACTTGATCAATGTTATTCAACTTTTATTCTATCAGACAATTCAAGGTGAGAAATAAAATAATATGCTTCTTGGAGAAAATGTACCTAAATTCTCAAAGCAGCAAAAAAAAACATTGTCTCCATGGTTACACAACAATATAGCAATAAATCCCAATTTGTCTTCTGCTATCTGTGTAACAAGATCTTAACGACGTATATTTGCCAGCCCTGAATTTCCTTAATCAAAACTTCGCAGCAAATTTTGTGTGACTACACGGTGTTACCAAGGAAACCTGAAACTTTTTTTTTAAATATTATTGTCAATGCGATATAACCTAATGTCAAATATTTTTATTGTTTTCCTGATGTTTTTGATTTAGATTGATCATGTTACACCTATCATTAATGAATATTGGGCGTTTTCATCATTTTTCAGCATAAATGTACCCATGGTTACCACTTCGAGATATATTCTAAATTGTGGCAACAAGGTGTAAGGTTTTTGAGAGTAGTTTGATTTTCTTAGACTTTATCAAGGCTCAATAAAGATTCAAAGTAGCTGAAAATCCAAATTTGTCTACATTTTCCAGCTGTTACCAAGGCAGCCATGAAGCAAAGCAACCAAATTATATTTAAGATATGTTTCTGGAGTCAAGTTATAAATAAGTGTTTACTAAGAATAACTCTTTGTAAGATCATCTAAACCAAAGGCTGGAGTGAACTTTTCTAATCGAAGTCTGGCTGTTCCCCTTCGTCTGTCTGTTTGTCTATTAATTTTTTTTTTTTACATTTTTCTCCAAAACCAGTAGACTCACTTCAACCAAACTTGATCTTATGACACAAAGCAGTGTTGTTCAAATGAAAGACCGTGTCTATGAATATATATCGGGAAAAAAATCTCTAGAACAGCAAAGCCTTAAGTTTGTGACGTATTGATAATGAAGCATCCCCATCGTGTGGATTCTAGGTGAGCTATGTCATGACTCTATTTGGCTAGACCTCCTTCAGATTCTGGCCAAGGGAATAGGGTGGGCCACACAGCTTAAGTGGTTTTACAATATGAAATTATTCTTTTAAATAAATAAAAATGGGAAACTTTTCGTACGTGACAATGGGCTTCTTCCTCAACTTAGTGTATAGCATTTGAACTTAATATATATTATTTTCACAGATCTCAGATTCATGGATTTGAAAATACAGGTAAGAATGTTCATGTTTTGCTCCCAGCATATACATTGCTCTCTCTCTCTCTCTCTCTCTCTCTCTCTCTCTCTCTCTCTCTCACCTTAGTGTGGATCCCATTTGTAAATGTATTTTCAGCCACGTATTCATGATTTGTATCCGAAATAAACTCCATATGTATGAATTGTACATTATAGAATTCACGAATATATACATATGTAATCAGTAATTATAAATCAATTACTCAGTTTCAGAATATGTAGTTACATTTTTCATTGTTTTATACTTATAAGGGTTTTTTTTTCGCCCCATGTAATTTTCCATGTTCACTATTTTGTACTGTTTTAAATTTTCCCAGACACAGTTATAATACAGAGATAATGTTGTTTTATTTGAATTTGCTTGTTTTAAATTTCGCTTATTTACGATTATTTAAGGGAGATAGGAACGAAAATAAAAAGGTAGCGAAAAATGACCATTTATATCGTTAATGTAATTAGATTATTGGGGGGGGGGGGGGTTAATCTCAGTAATATGAAGTAATGGTCGGTGCTCAGGTTTCGTCTTGATTTGCTCTATTAGTATTTTGAGCAAAATGGTCAGCGAACTTCGAATATAAACATATAATTATTAATTTGCTGTAAACTTTATATCAGTTTTATACAAAAACAATGCATTCCATATAGCTTTAACTATTAAGATTAAGAGTTAAGGTATTTTTTTAAATAATAATTTCCTACTAAAATCAAAGTACAGTCCGTTTTAAACAATGAATATTTGTTATGAAAGAAAGAAATCTGTACAATTCAGCTCAATAATATCCATTTACATAGCATCAGAATACATTAAAATCAAATTTTGAAGAAAAAAAATTGAAATTTTGAATTGATACAAAAAACGTTTAGTTATTTTATATATAATTTTAGATTAAAATACACTTTTAATTTGCGCAGCTTTAACATCAGTTTCATGTACGTTTAAAAAGACAGTTATGCACAGTGTTCCTGATTTGTTAAATATTGTAGGAAAAACTATCTTCCTGACGTAAACAGCTCTATCTTCAAATTTATGCTTTATCCAAAAACAGGACATGAATGAGATTCGATAAATTTACAGGAGGGGGGCTTTTCGGGTTTTTTTTTTTATATATAGAAGATTTTTTTTCATAAACTGAAGATTGTATTTTCCATTTTGAATAAATGGTATTGAAAAAATTATTTTACTTTTTTTCATCTTGCCTCGAGAAAAGATGGCAACATGGAGACGTCTTCAACAAGTTTTTCTCATACTTGTTGAAGCCTTTTACTCCAGTGTTCTATTGTTCTGTCCTACGCTGGGTTTTCTAGATCCCAGTGTCTGATTGGTCACTGCATATTTTACTCCATACCTTTTTTTTATTTAACTAAACTTCGTGTATATCATTTCTATACAGAGTTTCTCGACGAAACAAGACTAGAAGATATTAAAGGTATGTAGTTTTATAAAATGACTCACTATAAAGTATACAGCTCAAGAGATACTTAATTAAATCAAATCATCATATGCTCTTTAATCTGCTTATTAAATGCGTTTTGGTCATGGATAATATTATAAAAGTGTGACGATAACGAATGTTGATTGATCGCGTTTAAAAATAAAAAAAATACAAAATGTAAACGGGGGAAAAAACCCTGACCCCTTGAAACACCGGGTGAGCATCTTCTGTCGATCGGTCATACCTCCCTTGAGCCCTCTAGGATCTGTGTTGATCGGATAAACGAAGTTATACGTGGTCAAAATTAGTATTGAAAGAATAGGGTCGGAAAGTCTCGTTTACTTTCATTTTCGATTTGCAACTTCCGGGCAGCAGACCAAGATGCCGCTGTGTTTTGCCTTCGGGTGTACCCATATGACTGGCGCGAATCGAACATGTAGTTTATTCAGATTTCCTACAGATCCAAAAAAGAGGAAGAAATGGATTGATAGATGCAGGTATACAAATGATAATACTTATTTTAACAAAACATTAAACTGGAAAACCTGTCTGATAGATCCAAGCCCCGTGTCATGTTATCATGGTTATAGGCCTATACTAAACAAAACTTTGCAGGCCTTATATATACATGTATATCATTGTATTTACAAAGGAATAGTTATAAATTTAACCAATTAGTAGAAATTGTCAGATGATTGTTTAAGAAAGGAACAAAGAAATCGTGGCTTGACTTTTCAGTGCAAATTAATATTTAGAATTATTTTAAAATTATCTTCTGTATTTATATGTCTTCACTCTGTCTCAATCTTCATGATTAACAGAACTTTTAAAATCAGCTGGTATCATACATAATCTCTCAGACAAGACCCATATTAGAAATGCTTAATGTCCAATTTATTTTCATATTTTTTATACTTAGTAATATGAAATTAATTCAAAATAATAAAGAGAATACATGTGTAACAGAGTTAAAAATGGCTATGCATTGTATATAGTGAGGCCACGCTCCTACTAGCACTAGCTAGTGGGTTAACCCTTTAGCTCAGTAAATAGAGTGATTTTAAATCTGAGGGTTGTAGGTTCAAGCCACAGTGTGGACACCCCTAGCTAATCAGTCATATTGGCGCTCAACTACAAAACCCACATGGTGAGTGATGTTTATAGAGTCTCGTGTGTGAGATTTCTCAGGGGTAAGAAATCTCAAGAAGGGGGAAGTGTAACAGAGTTAAAAGTGGCTATGTGTTGTATATAGTGAGGCCACGCTCCTACTAGCACTAGGTAGTGGGTTAACCCTTTAGCTCAGTCGGTAGAGCGTTGGATTTTGAATCTGAGGGTTGTAGGTTCGAGCCACAGTGTGGACACCCCTAGCTAATCGGTCATACAGGATACGATGTAGCATTACACCAAAAGTTTACATTAAACATATGAAAGTAAACTAACTGCTATTTATAGATGTGAGTTTAAATAATGTTGTACAAACAATTTTTAAATTATTAATTTGATTATATAGTATTGAATTTATCCTCAACCTTTTCAGGAGAGCAGATAGAGAATACAATAGTAATGATCGAATTTGCAGTTGCCACTTTAAAGATGGGAGAAAAGAGAATGGGCCGACAATTTTTGTATACAGCAAAAATAATTGCTTTCCTGACTTTGTCGAGCCAAAAAGGTAAATATTTCTTACTTGACAGATCTTCATACATAGTTGCTTTCTAAAATTTATGTCAATATGACTCTTTTTCATCTCCTCCTTCATTTATATGTATATATGTATATGTATCATTTATATGTAATGTATATGAGAGTTAGCTTGGTTTTCAATGATAATTGTATATTTATAACTATTATTTTTTTTTAACTTTTAAAATATATATATTTGTTTATTGAAGAGCATAAAAATAATATTTTACAGACGCAAAATTACTGAAACAGAAACAGAAGGAACCCTCAATACAGAGCAACCCAGACAAGCAGAGCTAAACCACAATGACCACGACTATGCAGTTTCTGGAAGTACTGAAGGTAAAACAATTTTCATTTTGGCAAGACTTTCACTTATCACCTGATTTATCCACTGGGTCATGCTCACAAAAGGTTTAAAGTATTGGAGCCCTTATATTTTCATATCAGTTTGTTTTGCATGCCCTGTAAGATTATTGTTTGCAAAGACTGCAGTAATTTATCCTTTCATTATGATGCTTTTCATAAAAATATTACTTTGTGTGTAATTTATTTGTATGCTTGACAGAAGGGTTTGATGGAGAATGTGCAATGACAACTTCACAGTGTGAAGGAGGGATCCACGCTGATCACAGTTATACTGCTTATTTTCCAGAGGCATCCAAAGGTATTGAAAAAAAAATTATATCAGATGGACATTATTTGTATTATGCCTATATTATTATGTCTATTTTTAATAAGTCAGGCTATCTTAATAAAATTGTTTGTTTGCCCTCTCCAGACCAACTGGCTAAAAATGGTCCTACACAAAATTTTTACATAACCTCCAGGAAACAATTTTTTAAGAACTTTTTTCTGAATTATTTCATTACGTCAACAATTACCGACATGGTGCAACTTACCCTACCAATCCTATTTTTTTTACTCTGATTCTGGAGAGGAAAAACAAACATTGTTTTAAAGGTGGCCTCACTGACATATTTATGTGTCTTATAGAGCCTTATATGAAAATAGAATATCATGCTTGGGGGGGGGGGTTCAAACTTCTTTCAGTACCAAATTTAATTCATACACTAGCTACTACCCTTATTTGACTATACTACTATACTATACTATACTATATACCACCCTGATGTTAAATGCCTACTATGGTTTAATGTTGATATTGCTAATATTGTTTTGTAATCATTACAGAAAGTGTTGATTTAGCAGAAAGAGTGAAAGAGCTCCAAAGAGAATTAGAGTCACTAAAACTGAAAAAACAAGCCTTTACAATTTGCAACATAATACAGGACCCAGACAAGGTATGTTATTTGAGCATATTTTTATGCCCCCTTAATCGAAGATTTGGGGGCATATAGATTTAATTGTTGTGTCCGTCCGTCTGATTAGCTGTCCGTTAGTCTGTTTGGCCGCAAGAAATTTGACCTTGCCCAAACCTACTGACTGGTTGGACCTACAATGTATGGCTTTCTTGTATCACATATGTATTCCTTGTGATGGAGTTTGACCCACTTTTGCAAAATTTTACTAAACTTTAACCTTGGCCATAACTTTTGAGCAGTTGATGCTAGGGCTTTCATACTTTACAAGTGGATTTTTTTTTGACAAGACCTTCCTTTAGATACCAACATCTTTGACCCCCTTTGACCTTGGAGTTCGAGCCACTTTTGAAAACTTTTTACTTTGGCCATAACTTTCGAATGGTTAGTTCCAAGGTTTTCACATCTTTGTGAAAAGACCTTCACTTGGATAGCAACAATTTTGACCTTGACCTTTGTCTGACATACAGTTGAAAAATTTTAATCTTGGCCATAACTTTTGAAAGGTTGGTGCTCGGGTTTTCATATTTCACAGATGTATTCTTTGTGACAAAACCTTCTCTTGCACTTAGGTACCAACAATTTTGATTTTGTTTGACCTTTGGAGTTTGATTTGCATTTGTAAATCAGACTCCATTTGAGGTGCTTTAATTGAAGTTGAAAATGGCGGTTTTTACACAAGATGTTTATTTTGTATAAAAATAGTATACATGTGGCAATATTCATTGATCATAATTTATAAATGGTTGTTTTGCTTTGTTATAGATGCTGTTATATACTTCATTTCCCTCAGAAGTTTTCAATACACTGGTGTCTTTGTTGGAAAGAATGGCCCCATTCCAATACTATAATGGATGGACGGTACAAGGGATCAGTACCAGTGACCAGCTCCTTATGACTCTTATGAAGTTACGCCTTAATTTAAGGGATTTGGATTTAGCAGAAAGATTTAACACCAGTAAAAGTACTGTCTCCAACATATTGAATACCTATGTTACAGCGCTGCATGAAATTTTATTTGAAGGAGTGATGAAGGCTGTTGGGATACCCTCCCAGTTAAAATGCAAAGGGTCAATGCCCAAATCATTTGAGGAGTTTTCCTCTGCGAGAATAGCAATGGATGCCACCGAAATCACACAAGATGTACCATCAGACATGAATAACCAGTCGCTATCTTACAGCAACTACAAAAGTCGCCATACAGTAAAAGCTGTCACGTGTGTAGCACCAAATGGTGCTTTAGTGTATTGTTCAGAACTCTATCCTGGATCCACCTCTGATGCTGCCATTGTTGATCACTGTGGTGTATTGGATATGTTGAAGCCAGGTGATATGATCCTTGCAGATAAGGGCTTCAACATATTTGATAAGCTTCCACCAGGAGTGACATTAAACATACCACCTTTCCTGTCATCCAAATGTCATTTCACAAAGGAAGAAGCACAGCTTTGTTACAAGATTGGGAGAAGTCGAATTCATGTGGAGCGAGCAAATGAAAGAATCAAGAACTACCGTATTCTAGATCACATTCCTGCACAATACAGACATCTTGCCACTAAAATTTTCCAACTGTGTGTAGCTCTTGTTAATTTGCAAGCTCCTCTGTTGAAGGAAATAGCAGAAAAGTATGAAATTTAGAACTGGTGTGAATTAAAGTAGTACACAACATCTAACTTGTATCTTTTCAAACATGCTAAATATGTACACAAAATCTCTATAATGTTTATATTCATTATTATACTTTCATGTTAAATACTAAAATCAGATTTGTTTAAGAAATATTAAACAATTTGTAATGTTATCCTCAGCATTAGCAACACACTTGAGAATGGGTACATGTAACACAAGGATAATGTAAAATTATGTGCGCACAGTTCATCATAGAATTCTGGAAACATCAGTTGTGCATTTGAAAGAAGCCAAATAAACTTAATATCAATCAAAGCTTGAAAAACTACTTTTGAAAAACAATATGTTTATTTTTTAGAGAAAAACTGTTATATAATTCACATGTATTGTAATTACTATATATGAACATTACATGTATATATGCTACAGTGAATGTATTCTGTGGCACTTGTCTAATCAGGATGTTGTGTATTCAGAAATCATGCATAATATAATTATATAAACTTAATATAAACTATACGTCCCTTTCAAATAATTAAATTGTTTAAAAATGTTGTCTGACCCTAATTACATAGATCTCATTTTAATGATATTGCATCTTTAGAATTGCAGTTTGTATATATTTCTTTTCTTTTACTTTTTTGTGAAAAGGACTCAATTGTACATCTTAAATTACTTATTTTGTTCAAAATTTCCACACTGGTGATGCATGCTTAAGAAAATGATTGCTTTGGTCATTAGTTGCAAAAAATAAACCATGATAAAATTAAACAGTTTGGCAAAAATTAAAATTCTCTTTTTATTTACTGCACTAAGGGAAGAAGGCAATGTAAGAGATCTGTTTACAGTAAACATAGTTACTTACTTTGGTGGTATTCATAATTTAATGTCTTAGGTATTGCTTCATGTTCACTTATTTATGGACATGCTATTAGCAAGCACTACTTGTCAAACAAAATGCTAATCGCACTGAGATTATGATTGTGCTTATCATACTGAAGAAGAGGATTGAGCTAAATTTTGAGTGCACCAATATACATGTATGCTCATGTACAATATAAAGTCAGTTAAAATTTTACTGGAGAGAGGGTAGAAACACATTAAAGTAGAATTCAATCATGTTTTTCAAGTGAATTTCCCATAATTCGTCTCGAAGGATGCGAATGACTTCCATGCTTACTGGTGTCCAAACTACGAAATCACAACAAGTGGTGCCTGTAAGATAAAGCTGGCCTTGAACTTGGTGCCAATAATCATGATTCTCTCTAAGATGCAGGACACCCTCAGAATCACACTCTAAAATGATTTCAAAAGATCGACATCTATTCTTTCACTAAAATAATGTAGGATAATTTTATCTAGACATAAATCATGAAAGATGGTTTCATCAAAGAAAAATGAGAACTAATTTACATATACCAGGCTCTTTTAGAAAACTTTCAAATCGGTTTGTACTTACCTAGAAAGAAATCTTTCAAATTTGTACAGGCATCCTTGATAGACATTGCTCTTGCAGAGAAAGGACATTTAACCTCTATAATATCTGGTGATGCACTCACTTTTCCTTGAAGGTGAATCTTCAAATGTTTGGGATCACCTTGGACAAATCCATCAGGAGAGGCACCAAGAACACCTGATTCATGAAGCCATATGCCTGAAATTAAAAACTACAATATAAATTTAACCATATTTGTTATGTATGTTGTTTTACATACCATTGGGTAATTTTTTCACTCATATCGAGGGCTTCTAATTTCGATCTTTACTCGGCATCATTATGCAGTGACCAATCACAGAGTAAACACAACTAACTGAGCTATCATGATTATTAAGAGGCAAAATTCCATACTTAATAATGGATGTGTTATCAATCGTATCTTAATGATAGAAAAAAATCAAGGGAATTAAGTAAATATCACAAAACATGTACATAACATCGCAAACCATTTTATTCTTCAGTGATCAATTTCTTCATTTCATTAAAGATGAAATAGATGTTCTGATGAGAAAACAAAACAAGCATCTAATGTTGAACGTAAATTGTTTTATGTCACAAAGTTGTAGAAAAGGACCAGTTCATTCCAAATTATTACTTAAGGTCACTACTGATGCAAAATTTTACCTGTGTTGCTAACAACTTGCATCACAGCAAATGCAGGTAGGATAACTTTTTAAAAACATTTAAATTGAATTTGATAATTGTTTACCTGTCTCTAATATCGAGACCTCTGAAAGTTTACAATAGTCATCTTTTGCACTCTTTTCATGTGTAAGTCCCCACTGAATAGAAGCTCTTTTCTCAAGATTATATGCACTGAGTAATCTTTTCTTTAATGATACTGAGAGCCTACAAGAAAAAAAAAATGAATTTCATAGTTTTAATTTAAAATTATTAATAAAAAGACCACACATTAAGAATTCAGTAATATTATTTTTAAAATGTAATGCTTTTGTACATTAAATAAACCATTGTAAATTTTATTTACCGATTTCTTCTAATAGCACCAATAACTTGTCCAAAATTAGATGCAGTAATTCTCAATTTGCGAACAGCTGCCCATAAAGAGTTCTCTCTTTGTCCTGTAGTCAGCCATGCTGTTTCAATAATCTTTTCTGAACAAATGACAAGTTTCTCCCTATGTTAAAAATCATATATATATATGTATATATAAAAAATCTGTTTTTACACCTTCATTTCTTTAAAAGCCAAAAATAATGAATTATTTCAAAGAGCACAAGTTTTTACATATTCTGTTTATTTGAATTTGAATACCTTAAATAAGATGACTTGCACTGAGCATTCAAGTACTCTTCACTTATGAGCTGGTCTTCAATAAGTAATGCTGGCATTTCCTCACACTCAGGCTCATTTGATAAAATCCAGTGCATAGCTGCAATAAATGAAATAGCAATTACCATTACATTGGCCACAACTTTCAACATATTATGTTGTAAGTTAACGCTTGTGTTATGTACTTTATTTAGCTGACAATATATGTTTGGTCATTGTGAATAGTCTATACTTAAAATACCTTATGAATTACAATGTATTAATTATTTACTTAAGAAAAAATGAAAAACATTTAAAATGGAAATAATATTTGTTCTAGGTCAAAGAAATTACAGGTAGATGATATACCGGTATGTTCTCAAAATATATGCCACACTAAGTTGACATGTTAAAAAAGAAAATTTAAAAATGATGAAAGTGTTACATAAAAAAAAATATGTAACTTTTTAAAAAATAAATGAAAATCCATTAATAACAAAAATGTAACATTAACTCAAAAATAAATCATAAAATGAGCCTTGATTCAGAGGAAACAGTTTCCCTTGTGACAAGGATGAAAAAAATATTGTTCATCAAGCAAACCTGTAAATCTACCCAAATGACCTAGCAGATCATATAAATATGATCTATCTGCATCTGTCATCTCTCTTTTTAATGCTCTAAATTTACATGTATATACATCAAGTATTCATTACAGAATGAAATATTCAAATGAATAACACAACCTTTCATTTATTATTTAATTACCAAATATATAATGTACAAAGGTGCTTGTGAGTTACCTATAATCTTGCCTGGGTGGATACATTTCCCCCATTGTTGTTATGGCTTTAGGAGGAGCAGATTTAGGATGCTTGATCCAGCTGCACTTCACATCTGTCTTGCTTGCCCTCTTATATCTAAAGGATTATTTTATACACTAGTTAGTAAAGCACTTAGATTTAGAATAGACAAAAAAATAAAACACACAAAATATAAATATTGACAAATTCAGCTGAAATAAAAAAAAAATCGGACTTCAAGCTGCAAAACTGTTGCATTTTTTTAAACAAATGAATTAACAGAATATGCTTCATGTACCCAAACAGAAGAGCTGCAGCTACATGGTGGCAGCGAAACTGGCCCATTGGACATTCACACGTCGATGACTTTATAGTACCAGTACTGTTTTCTTCATTTTCCAGAAATATCTGTTAAAAGTAAAAAAAATAAAATAAAATAAACAAGTCTCTGTCATAGTGTTACAATGATATCGCCGACTATCGAAAATCATCCCTGAAGTCAACAAGTCAGCGACAATTGATGGAAAATTTTAAAATCAAAGTTGCTACATTTTTTAAAATTTTTTTTTAAATACAAACTGGTTCATCTTTTAACATTATCAAAGGATATTCCCCTATTTCTCTTGCAAATGGCAGACAAATTTTCCTACTAAGTATAAACTGAAGTTGGTCTCATAGATTTGTATTGAAATATTGTTTTCATCTTCGAGGATATCTGAATATTTGCTGGTTAACTTTATTTAACCTTTAAATTAAATAATTAAATTCGATCGTATAATTGATTGTATGCTACTGATTCAATTTGATAATCGATAGTGAATTTGGTCAAATTTTGCAACACTAGACTCTCTGACTAAATCTACATGTTTTACGGAATATTTTCAGTGAATTGTAAACATGATGAATTCTTTGGGCGAGGTGGAGGAGGCCAAGACGCTGGATTACCACAGCCCGCAATTAAAAAATAGTTTAAATCTATAAACTTTACTCAGTTTTTAGTTATAAACATTAAAGATCTTGAACAGACTCTTAGATATAGTTTGAAATTGTTCTAATGTATTGATGCGAAATCGAATGTACATACCTGAACTTTGTAAGATGTGTCTCGCATTGACGCTTGCACAACCGCAGTAATAACGCGAAACTCTTTATCTAACACAAATTTTAAAACCCTGTCGCTATCCACAGCTTTCTCACTTTTCCTGGTAAGTTTTGTGTGGCTTTCAACGTACCGAGCCCAGTACATTATTGATAAAGCCATCCTTGGCAACTGCCCGGAAGTAAGTTTTCACGTTATATCTCGCGAGTCACGTGACGAGACTTTCCGACCCTATTGTCTCCAATTAGTATGAAACAGTAAAATTATTAGAAAATTGACATGTCAGTAAAATAAATACGAACCAATGACAGGTTGTACTAGCAATCTAGGTTGTCTAATCGACAATAGGACTTGCAAATATCATTTAAAAATTAAAAAAGATAAAGACAAGATAAATTTCTAACCAAGATCATATTTTTTTCCTTACATGATTTCTATAATCGAGTTTGCGTAATATACTAGAATGTAACAAATGTTTTATCCACTTTTAGAAAAAGAAACCTCGTCCCGCTATTTACTTAAAAATATCTATTTATTGTATAACGGACCTCCAGGTGAGTTTTTATCCTAACGGTAGATAAAATTCCCTTTTCAGGAAAATGAACATAGATAATCAAAAATCAAAATTATGCCCTTTGAAAAATGCCTTACATTATCCATGAACTGAGCGCCTGATGCTGCATAGTGGCAATTGTATGCAAGACGATTACATTGTCTTGGCATTTACCAGTGTTGGGTGTAAACGAAACTGATTTGCATTTAGTGGATCAAATTTCTATTATATTGATAAAAATTGTCTGTTTGAATGACACAAGATCAGGAGTCACATCTTACTAATAATTAATCAAATAATTAAACTGACGTGTGGAAACAAAAAAAGTATAAAATTATTTAATTCTGAAAAAAAGTTATTCTATTTCATGTATTTGTATTGAATTTTGATTCAGCTCAAGCAAAAGAACACCTTGAGAGTTACAAGAAATTCGACGAGTACTACGTTGAAACATCCTTATATAGGAAGATACAGAACAGCTTCAAAGAAAATGGAGTTGTAGTAATAGAGGGACCAACTGGTTGTGGCAAAACAGCAGCTGCTACCCATTTGTTATTAAAGTATTATGAGCTAACAGGTATTGACGTACTGAAGGTAACAAAATTTACCGATCTATATCAGTATAAGAGTGAAGGGGGATCTTCAGTCATTTTTCTAGTAGATGATTTAGATATTGATAACCCAGACATGCCAAACTGGGAAATAGCATTTGAAATGCTCTACATAAAGATGGAAGAAGTACGTGAAGTTCATCGCAGAGAAGCTCATAGAATTCGATTAGTTGTTACAGCGTTTCATATTCCATCAAGATTACGTAATCTCCCAATATTTTCAAAAGACTTTTTAATTCATGAATCCGAATTAAGTAAGAAGGAAAAGCTTAAAATTTTGCAGAAACAAATGAAATACGCCAGTGAATATTTGAAAATCAAGTATGAATCTCTTGATAAAGATGTTCAGGAAAATGTTGAAACTGCAAATACAGTTGTCGGATTTCCTCTTGCTGCACAGTTGTACGCTAGAGAAGAAAAATATCGCAAGAAAGGGAAGGAGTTTTTCAAAAGTCCTAAGATATTTTTCAAAGATTCATTGAAAGAATATGTAGAGAATGATGAAAGCAAAAGCATACTCACAGCGCTAATCATTGTATATTTGCGTGAAATATATGAAAGACATGGAAATATACCAGACGATATAGCTGGGGCAAAGCTAGCCTTACCAAAAACATGCAGAAAGGCCATAAAATCGGATATAGTAAATAGCCTAAATCTGGAATACGAGAATTTATCTTATTCCGCAACTAGGCTTCTCGGGCTTTTCTTTTTGAAAACAGAGGAGGGCACATATAAATTTTGCCACTCGCTTGTTTTGGATTCAGTAAGTTCCTATCTTTTTGACGAGTACTTCGAAACTGTCGTTGCACATTTCCCCCTGGCTGCCATTGCATATGAAACGCACGAATTTTCTGATTACAAGGAAACACAGTTCTCTTTTATCAGTGACAGATTAATAAGGGAAATGGAAGCTGGAAATTTGGAAGACGTATGCAAGTGTACCATTCTGAAAAATGAATTAATTTTAAAAATCATGGGTAGAAAATTACAAGAAAATAAGACCACTTTGAAAAAAATCTTGACAGCGTTTGACAGTAAGCATGAGCATTTGCCTCTGACATTTTGGGCAGGCCGATATGAACTGTTGAGATTTTCAGCCATACTCTTGGATTTCGTAGACGCACACATTTCACATCAGCAATTTATAAATAGATACTTTTCATTGCTGGGAGAATTTTCTACCAGGTCTCCTAAAGACCTGAATGATACGATACACCAAATCCAAGATTCATCAGAAATCAGAAAAATGTTGTTTTCTGAGAGGCCGAGTTTTATTCATGAAATAATTTCATCCAACAGACAAGATGAAGATGTCAAGACAATTCTCGAACATCTTGTAAAGGACGGAATGTCTTTGGATACTCTTGACAGAAACAAAAGAACACCGATAATGATCGCTGTATATTGTGATAAAGAAAGGGGCTTAACAATCGACCTGTTGTTGAACAAATCGGATTTGTCAAAGGTAGACAGCAAGGGTTATTCTGTGTTCCATCATTGTGTTGCAGCTGAGAAAAGTGATCAAAAATGTTCTCTCATTCTTCTAAAACTTCTTGGTACTTATAACATTCCTACAGGTGTCTTGAATCTTGAAAGTAATTCTGGTCGTACAGTTCTGCACAGAGCGGCATTAGTGACAAAACATAGCAGAATACTTTGCATGATGATTTTGCTTGGTTTTGATAAAGGACTCTGTAAAAATAACATGCTAGATGAAACAGGCAGAACTCCAATATACAATATGATTAAACATCTCAATAAAAGGGGTGTTTTTGTTGAACTAGAGAGACTAATTCGGGTATGTATGCTCTTACTACATGATATCTCCCCTTATGATAAGGCAGAAAGCGGTGAAAAGAGTGCTTGGGATGTTATTAAAGAAAACAAATCCGGCATACATCAAAAATTATTTCAATTAATTAAAGTAAGTCCAGATCAAGAGGAAATTATTGAAATCATTAGCTCTGTACTCGATGACGTACCACAGAATGTTGAAAGAACTGATATTCCTTTCGAAACACCAAACGCAACGGAAATCTTTTCTGCGAGTTTGATAATGCTGTTTAAAAAGGCAGCTCAGTGTCTGTGTACTAAAACATTCAATGAAATTCAAACAATGTAATTCAATTGGATTGTCATGTGTTATATGTTTTCAAAATCGCTTGGAAAGAATATCAACAATTGATAGCATTACAAATAAAAAAGAAAGTCAAACGTATTGGTCTATTTATGCTTGTTTCAAATGGTAAAACTGCTCCTCAAAAATTAAGATAGGGATCTGGGTTTATACGGTCTCATTCAAAGGACCTATCTAGGTTTATGCGGCCTCTGTAAAAACGAATAATGACACCCAAGTAATAATGACTGGGGGTCATTTTTCGACGTAGAAAAATACCCAAACTTTAGCATCAAACATCTCTTTCAAACTTTTTATCACTCTGATGGGATGGGTGGTCATTTTTCAATAGAGTCAATTCCTTATAGGTTGTACATGTAGAAAACTGACACTTAGGTTTCTTTTTCTATAAATAAAATTTACATTTTTCCTCGGATACGAGGTCATATATTGATGACCTCTGTCATTTTTCTACGGGGATTATTCGTATTTATACCTCATTCAAATGACCTGTCTCCATGTCCCGCCATGGGATTCGAACCCGCGATTAAGGATTACAAGGATCATTACTCCTCGACTCAAGAATGATGCTTTCACAAGTAAGTTACACAGGCGATAGAGTGCTTATTATAAAATATGTTAAAATATTGTATTATATTATATCATAATGTGGAGAATACTTATCGTATAATAAACCTTTCCTTTATCAACGGGGACATTTTGTCAATTTTTTCCCCGCTATTGACAGTATTTCGCTTCCAGATATAAATTCTCGAAACTTCAATTTGAGAAAGATATAATATATTATTAAATGAATTTTTGTGTTACTTAAATCTAGGTCCCCTTTTGAGAGACGCTAATTATGTATCGCCGAGAAGTTCACGCAGAAAAGAGAATCGTACTATTTAAGTAATAAACAAAGTTATTCAGTTCAAACATGGCGTTATGAATAGCTATTGCTCTGTTGGCATATATTCCATGATGCTCGTTAGCCATGTTCACGGAGTATCGTTATTTATTACTTATACTGAGAAACCATTAGTTTCCGTGGTGACTCAATTTTTGTGGGATTCGTGGGTACCTCTCGTCTACGAATTAATAAACTAGGGTTACAAAGCTTGTATATTGTAGTTTTAAAAGAATACACAAAATTAAATCCCCAAGAACCTGTAAAATTTAAGCAATCCACGAAAATTGGCCCCAACGAATTTTAAAGATTACACAGTGTTTGCGTCACCCGCGTGGCGCAGTACTTAGAGCGTTTTCTCTAGAGAGTTGATCCTTACGTCGAGGATTCGAATCCCACTGGTGACATGGAGACCGTATAAACTCTGTGTAATAATTTTCTTCGTCAATCATGACTTCTCATCTTCCTTGTCTCTTTAGAGGGGCCTAGAACAGAGTTGCATCGTTTACATGTTAAAATATAGGTTTATTCAAAAATAAAACCAGTTAAATGAACTGAACTTTTCTGAATATTCTTAGAATTCAATGACAACGACATTCTTCTTTTTATTTTTCATTCTTTTCTTTTACAAAAACATCTGTTTTTGTAAATAGGGCACGAGATCTGTTATTGTTAAAACTTTTACCAGGTGTGTTCAATTTGTTAAACTCTGCATGCACACATCACTGAGCACGGACTGGCAATACTGGTGAGTTGTTTTTGCTTTCTTATATTTCAACTCTGAATTTTCTCGATGATAGTTTTAATATTTTTCATTAATACACAACAAAATTTCTACTTTTCTTAAGTATTTAGAATAAAGTTTCTGCAGAGTGGAAGGATTTGTGTCAATCAAACGCGTCCCGGAATTCATAGTTTCAATAATTTTCAGATAAAAGAAGTTTCTGAACACGTTTTTATTTCTCTCGCAATCTCTAGCAACATATAAGTCATGATATTATATGATAGTATATAAAAATTTGAGATGTAATTAACTTCAAATCTGCGTCCAAGCCCCTTTAATACTGTTTTTTTTTTAATTTAACAGACGGGGTTTTCATTTTTATTGATTAAAAATAAGATAAATTTAATACCAACAGGGTACTTGCATGTGTAACATTACATTTCAGCTTCATACTAGATACTAAGAACCACACGGATATTGGTATTTAGCGGAACGAAACGGAACCATGAGAATGCTATTACCTGTACTCAAAGTGCGACCACTCTGTCTTACATACAGACTTGTTAGATAACAAAAATAAACGATTTTTTAAGAGTTTTGAGTAAATTTGGATAGCAATGAATTTTATATCAAAAATAATTGCATATTAAATTTTTAAACATTCAATGAAGTTTACATACACTCTGTAATAGCTACAGATGTCAGAGCAGATCAAAACCCTCCACGACTGAATCGCCCAGAATTTATGACAGCTTGGCTTTAAATTAATGTTTGTTTGCCCTCTCCCGACTCAGGATGAAAAAAATAGGTAGTAGGTAGGTAAGAAAATTTTTTTTCTCAGAAAATTTCCATTTCAATGTTGAATTTTCAAAATCTATTTTCCAGAATGCATGAAAAAATAATTAATTTCTGGAGTTTTAAAAAAGTTTTGAGTCGGGCCCTTTTTATCCAGTCGGTCGGGAGAGGGCAACCAAACAATATTTTTAAATGTGGCCTAAGCTAATACAGCTATTACCACACTGGGGGATTTAGAGAAGGGCATGTTTACCTGTCCTCAAATGTCCAATGGTTGGATAACATATAAACTTCAAGGCTTACCTTGAAAGATGAACAAAATCATTGTTGTAAAATTATGTCATTATTATAGGAGATGTTTCACTTGTAACTTAATTATTTTGTTGAATATGAAACATTTTGTAGAAAATTTTATTATGAAGGATGGTGCATGAAAACAAATTATATGCCCCTCTTTTAGAGTCTGTACCTGCAGGAAGGGTCCAAAATATCTTGAAAAAAGAAAAGGTGTCTATTTTTCTTATGTCTTAAACTAAAAATAGAATTTGTTCAATTAAAACAAAAGAAAATAATTTCTTCATTACAACGTTCACATTCGGCACATTTTTGCACATATACAAGGTTATTTTTAAGAAGATGGGCGAGCAAGGCGAGCGCAATGCCTAAAGTGTAACAAACATGAAGGTGAAAATTAAATCTTAATTATAACAAAATGTTCTTTGATATTTCATCTAAAATTAAAGTATACTTTATGTAAAATCTCCACAATTTACAAAAATATCACTAAGATTGAAATTATTTGCCTATGAAATAGCATACACACACTAAAGAGGGCAAAAAGGATCATTTTCTCATACTATAACAGAATTTTTTCGATATGAGTGGGTACAATTCGCTCCATATTTTTCAAAGTTTATCCTCAAACTTGCGATATACAGAATATAAAATATACATGTTTTGGTCAACAACAAAAAATGGAGCAAAGATTCACTTTACCTTAAAAATACACTTTTATGACACACCATTCGCATCTTTCAGAGAAATACTTGAAGTCCATTTAGTCAAGGGTCATATCAATACCACAATTCATCAAGAGCTGTGTAGCGTAGTGGTTAGGGTGTTAGTCTCAAAGGAAAATGATACTCAGGATTTTTATTGCTGGGGTTTGAACCCTTGTTTATCATAATTTCATAAATTTCGATAATGAGAACTTAACTCTAAATACTAAATTCACAAACTGATTCATCTGAAGCTATAGGCATTCTGCGCGCCATGTTCACCCATCTCCTTTTGGTTTATAGTTAATTTAGTTTATATGACAAGCAAGATTTATCTTAAAAAAAGAATTATAGCAAGATTTACCGATGGAGAATAACAGACTGAAACTAGTACATGTATATGATTCATGAAGAAATTTCATTTTATTTCGTTTTACTTCATATATGCTAATATCCACACGGATACTGGTACATGTATATTGTGGAAAGGAAAGGAACCAGGTATGGATTTTGTGTTTTGTTTTCTGTTCTTGTAGACAAAATTTTATAAAACTGATAAATGTTACATATATTAATAAAGGTTGTTATTTGTGGGTGCTTATTTTTCTCGTGTGGGCATTGGTAATTTGAGGAGCGGAACGGAACAAGAAATGACCATCCAGTCTTTTCTTGTTTTTCTTTCTTTTTATTAAATTAATAATGGTATATTAAGAAAAAGTGGGAAACTAACCAGAAATCGATTATTATATTTTTTGAATGCAAGTAAAAAAGCATCTTCATTAGCCATGGGTTTCTGTTCTGATCCGCTACTCCTCTCATAAACCCTAGGGTTTGTATGGAGAGTAGCAGATTAGAAACCCTTGGTCCAAGTTTAAAAAAACAAACAAACAAACACAACCGCCCAGATTCGAAAATCCTATTTAGTAGGGGGGGGGGGGGGTTAACCTTTGAAATTTACCTGTGTTCAACGCCTCGTCAGAAACCCACGGTCGGTCTCGCGTGTTTTCAAATTATTTTAAATTAAAGGCGTAAAACGTTCCTTATGACCACAATTTATAAAGTTTGTGTTTTCACAGCGGATAAACCGCGGTAATTAACCAATTAATTATTTATTATTAATGACTCAAATGAAAACCCCTGAGTTAAAAAACTAAGTTAATAAGATAGCGATCACGTGACCCTGTGACGTCAAAGGCGACAACGGCTGATCAGCTCTTCACGTTAATCTTAGAAAAAATAAGGGACACAACCTGCATTTTCGCGTTGTGGACGACCAAATCACTGATTTTAACGATATGAAATTGAATATCCAACCTAATATTTTGAAATTGTCCGCAAGAAAAAAATATGAGAAAATCTGTTAACATTAAAAAAAAATAGCAGCGACGATAGCGAGGGAGACACGGCGAAGACGAAGAAACTCGCCATCACAATACAATTTGATTTGTCATCTTATCACACGTATTTACTTATTTGATTCACAAATTTAATATTAAATTACTTCGTTATTCTTCGTTTTTAACATAATATTAATTTAAGCAAGTATCTATACCTTCATATGTTTTGTAAAGGATGGCGGTCTTGATAAGTAATTTTTCGATCACGAAAGATTATCGTAATCAGAGAGCTCTACAGATTCTATATGTTTGGAATAAAAAAAGAAAATATCTCAAAAGCCTCATACCTTAGAATTAGTTAATGTTACTATAGTAATTGAAAAGCACGTTAGGAATTAATTTTTTCAGCATTTTTCGTAATTAAGCTGCATTTGTCGTTGATAACTCTGTAAATAGTGCGTATATTCTCATCTCTCTACTCTATCACTGAATTATCACTGAATTGTCGCCTATGACGTCAGAGCAGTATTTCGCTGAAATCCGACTGAAATATGCATATTGCCGTATTTGCAATATTTGCCGTGAATTTCACCTCTCAATATCTCTTAAAATATGCTTTCAACAACGTTTATTGTATTCAGTATTCTAAATAACAAGGTTGTAGATAATGTTTTTCATAAAATTTTTTGTACATTCATGCGATAAGTCCTTTAAGGCATCTACACAGGTCTACATCGTCTCAAGCTATGGTCCAGAGTCTGCATATACATATAGCTTAATTATTGCTTCATCACATTAACTAATCGCAATTTTGAACACCTACGCCCGTAATGTGTGGCGTCATGTCAAACCTATGAAACTAATAGTTTCTATTGCAATTAATAATATGCAACAATTGTTAGGTAAACTGCGATTGGGTATTGAAAGGTCGCGTTAAAGGTCAATTTCCAACTATGCATATGCTTAACTTGCATTGGTCAATATTTAATGAGCTTCAACATATTTCCTTATCATTCAACCACGGCCAGAATGGGATAGGACCGCATATTTGGGCCAGTTTGCATTACACCTAATGACTCGTAATGAGTATCAATTTTATTTTTTGAGTTACTTCTAATGGAATGTTTTAATCCTGCTTCAAGGGATATGAAATAAACAATTAAGAATTTATTCAAATAAGTACAAGAAAATATCACAATGATAAAAGACGAAACATTTCACAGCTATATGTCTAATTGTGGTATTATGTAGTAATTTCAAAAATAAACGTTCACATTTTGAATGAATATTAAAAAAATATTTTAACATCAAAAATGATAATTTTGCTGGATGATAGGGCCCTCATTTTCTTATTCCACCATTCTGCTAGATTTGCTCAAATTCAGAATGAAAATCACATTTTCCATTTACAAAGACATAGGAAACCTATGAGGTCGTACATGTAGTTGAATTATCTTGTTTGTTGAACACGAAAATATAAATCTCATTTTTTCTTCTTCAGAAATTTTATTTCAACGAGTCAAGTATTAATAAAAGCAACACTTGAACACTTAACAATATGCATATAAATAACCAAGGAAATAAATAATAAATAAATAAATAAATAGATCTCACATCTGATAATATTCAGTACAATAGAGTCATATGAAAGTCTCCGTTCTTTTAGTCTTTCGTGTCCATTGGGAAGGAAGGGGAAATTATTACACTCCTTTTTCAAAATTTATCCTCTTTTTTTACTTGAATAGTTGTATTCATTGCTTTGAACAAGGTTGGAATGAATAGAAGACCATCCAAAGTGACCCATTGTTTCTTCTCTGAATTCGTCCTTCCTGTCTGTTGAAGAGAAGTCATTCAGTGGTATTTCTTCCCCTCTATCCTGCTGAAGGAAAACACTAAACTGGGTACTGATTCTTGGGAGGACTATCGCCATGCTGACAATTAAGAATCCTTTTTGCCTTTCAACAAAAGTTGTTGGTGAGAAGATGTTATATTTTTCCTAGAAGTTATATTTCAGGGCAAGAATGCGAAATGTCTATCCCGGCGATTTACACTGAAACACTATTAAGGCTGTTGAATAAAGAAATAATGTTTTTTCAACAAGATTCAAGCAGATTTTCAGCAACTTGATAAAATTAGTGTAAGAAAGCTTTAAAAGAGCGATTTAATAAATTAGATTGTCTGAGGAAACAGTGTGCACCGTCATATTTATATGGATACATGTAACCTGCGTTGGTGCTCCCCTGCGAAGATTTAGTAAACTTTTTGAATGAAACATAAACTCGCTCACAATAGCATTGCGTTTACTACATCTGATAAAAAAGAAGGAGACATTGTTTTGGTTTTGAAAAAAAAACACCCTGGTAAGACCACCCACAATATGTCTAGCTTGTCGTCTGAAGGTCACACAGGGTGCAGGATGCGTTTGAGTAAGCTTTACACACTCTTTAAAGTTATCCCTCTTCAAAGTTCCGTTGTTTTTGTTTTTTCGTAACTTGATAGTCCCTTATTGAAAGCCAGTGGGTAGAATACAGGTATACATCTCATTTCACTGGAATTCATATGATTACATATTTGTATGTAGACAGCAGATATATTTTTTTTAAATATCAACTTATGCTCTCTCTCTCTCTCTCTCTCTCTCTCTCTCTGAATAGATCTGATTACTAACGGAGAAGTCACTGGGCTACCTTAATTAATAACATACCTGTCATTCCTATCACTCCTCTATTTAACCTTAAATTCTGTAGATTTAGGCCAAGAAAAGTATTTTTGTAAAAGTAAATATCTTCGTCCATAGTCGAGTCAGGACAACAGGGACAATTTCCTGGGAGTGTATCATAAAGAATTGTGACCATGTTGCTGGCCAGAATTGTGTGAATTAAAAAAAAAAAAAACGGAAGAAAGAAAACTGAAAATAGCTACCCACCCCTAATTTCCCCACTGCTAATATCTCATGTTTTGAGGGAATGATTTTAAAATTAATATTTTAGTTATTTTTTTAAAAAATGATCATTTTTTTATGTTTTGTCGCTGGATCAATGCAAATAATTATAATTTTGGATCTTCTATATAACGACTGGAGTTATTCAGCATGAAAAGAATGTTGAACTCACCTATTTTGATAGCCGTTTGGGTTTGATTCCATTACTTTAATATTTTTCTATAAATATCGTGGTCAAATTACATATAAACCAGTGGATTTTTTTATTCGAGCGCTCTCTTTATCTAATAAGTACATATATATTTCGACTAACACTCTCTTAATAATCTATTTTATTTTAATTAAAGATATCGTATTCCAAAAATTCCAAACGTCAAGTTGTTGAACATGAAATTATAAATCTCATAAATATTTTATCGTCAGAAATTTTATTTCAACGAATTTCACAAAAACAACCGGATATAGTCGATTGAACACAAAACGATATGCAAATAAATAAATTAAATTATTTATTTATTTCTTTATCTATTCATTTATTTATATATAAAAATAAATCTCACATATGAAAATATAAATATATAGAGTTCATACATTCTTAGAAAAAAAATAAATATATCATTATTTATTATCAGGAAAGGAAAGTTGAAAGAGAAATCTTGCCTTCATATGATTACAAAATTTGTTGTAAGTCTAAAAACAAGAAAAATTAAAAAGAAATATTTGTTGACTTGTAATTAATTGTGCTATCATAACAGCTTAACATGTATGATAAGATGTTGACTACTGAAGGCCTAGTGAAAATGAATCTCGCAAAAGTATTGAAAATCACATATATTTTCATATGTTTCCTTAGTACAAGAAACTCTACAAAAAATTGAAATAATGACTAATTCTAAATGTTTAATTTACAAATATGAAAGTGGAAAAATGTGTCTCGGGGGCATATTTTGAACAAATTTTACAAAAATACATGACTGAAAAATACATGTTTGATTTGATGATACCATTTGCCCTAGGGTTCTGTTGACAATATTATGCATAACAGTACATTGACCTGAAATTGTAATAGACTTGCTCATCGTAAGCATCATGTCCAATGTCTGACGAATAACATAAAACAATTTAAACTGATTACAAATCTGTAGTACTTCTCATCGCCAGAATTCCATTCACATATTGATTGACATAGATCAATTTATCGAAAATGAATAAGCCGTTAGTGTAGCTCCTTGCATTACGCATCCATCAAATCTAAAAAGATTAGTCATATAATGTGCATATATAAAGCCACCTGTAAAAATAACCCGGTATCAAAGTTTCGACATTTGAAAGTATAAGGACAAGGACAAGTAGACCACTGAGCTTAATTTCAGAATCGCTTTCGTTATGGAATAGGAATTGTATTTTTTTTTCATTGAACATCGTTTGTTACATCGACAGATTTGTGCAAAATATAGTGCTTTGAACAAAATAACAATATGCTTGCTGTATCATATAAGATGCTTTGTGTTGTGGAGGCTTTATTAGTGCTTTTTGTAACCAGCTTTACATTCATCAACGCCATTCCAGAATGTAAGATATTCAAAATCAAACAATTTTACAGAAGTCCTTTAAATTACATCGATTGATTGTTGTCAAAGTTAGCTATGCCATGTCTCAAATTTCATTTTGAGTCTATATTTTCCATTATAGATTACATGGAGGAGAGATGTAATGTCAACAATGTTATTAATCTGGCCACGGAATCTCACGAAGCAGTCCGACTTCGTCTCACAAGAAACCCTGCCTATACCCGAAACATCAACTGTATTATGGTTATTCAGCCTCCGCCGGGCAAAAAACTTGTCGTCCGCTTCAATGAAGTAGACATCCAGCAGCTACAAACTGGACAGTGTGTGGACGCTCTGATTGCTATAGATGGTCAAGACCAAGTGTCAGCTAGACTTCTTCAAGGTAATTGCTGAGTCATATTTTTACCTGTAAATTGACTGAGTCATATATTTACCTTATGGTAACTTTCTTGTTCCTAGCAGTTTTCTAGATTTAACTTAAATGAGAATATTCCAACAATAATTAAGAATACCCAAAAAAGGCACTTTTTATTAAGCGAAAAAATATCATGAGCCATGGGAATTTAGAGATTGTATAGCATATTTGTATTTTCAGAAATATATTTAGAATATTCTTTCATTCATAGGTACACCTCAACAAATTTGTGGTCAGTCCAGACCAGGTCAGGCTTTCGTGACTCAGCAGGGCCCTCTCCTTCTGAGATTCGTCAGTGGTCAAACCAACGTAGCACGGCGGGGATTTGATCTCCTCATCACTGCCTACAAAGATGGTAAGAGTAATCTATGACGTACATTGACGTAGTAGTTGTTCATTAGCAACTGATATCGAAAGATGAATAGATGTCCATATAGATTCATTAATGTTGGTCATTTGCTTCCAATATCCTTTGTTTTATTCGCTACAAAAAAAAAAAAAAAAAACCACAAGATTTTTCTATTGTGCCATCTTGATCTCGGAGGTTCTTTTAAATTTTACAGTTAATTTTTTTTTTCACTGGTTACGCAAGAAGAAAAATGAATTTTAGTTTGGAAAAAAAATATTAAACAGATAAATCTGTTCTTTTCTTCGCATCTTTAAAATGTTCAATATTTTTAATTCAGGTCCTTGTGCATCCAATGAATACACTTGTAACAACCAGCGATGTATCAACGAAAACCTGCGCTGCTCAGGACTCGACCATTGTGGGGATGGTACAAAACCGTGTCCTCTGACCGCGGAGGCAGTGGCCGGGATCGCGGTGGGAGGGGCACTCATCCTCATCATCATCATTGCCCTCATCGTTTTCTGTGTTTGCAGACATAAAAGGAAGACGAACTTTAGTGAAAAGGTTGTTGCTCGTTATTAGAAATTTGATTCTATAATGACAGAGTGACATGCAAATTACTTAACACAAAACATCTACTACCTCTGGTTTTTGGTGCCAAAACTGTCTCAAGCGTCATTGAAAGATCTCGCTTGTAATAACGCAATAGTCGTGATGTAGCTTAGACATTGTTTTTAAAATAAAACTTCAGAATATTGTCTTTTGATTGGTACTCATGTTTAAAATGATAATTGTACATTGTGCTTAGTTGACAAAGCTGTCTCTATATTATATTTTATTGTATTTAGGCGCATGCTCACGACAACAGACGAAATGGCTACGAACCAACAGTAGTTAAAGGAGAATCGATCAAAATTAGTGGAAACAATGTCAGGGGTGTGGTTTATTAAACAAAGACCAATATCCAGAACTACACGTGTGGGGCACTCGATAGTTTTTTCTTGTCATATATTATCTAAATACCTCATACTGTGATATATGGTGCCATTTTTGTTCATATTTTCTACTTGTATTCGACGTGTACACATTTAAAATACATACTGTATGCGACATTCATCTCTCTTACGCTATGTTTCCCTACTAGAATGTCAATGAATGTACATGTATTTACCTGAATACTTCATTATTAATTATGTAACAATTTTATATGATATTTTTTTTTATCTTTCTTCTTGTAAAAAAAAATAAAATGGTGAATAAACAAATCAAAATAATCTTTGTTTTTTGAGTTTTCTTTCACACACACTCTGTACCGTGTGAATGTCTTTGGAATTATTTTGGAACTATGTCACCCTGCTTCCTATTGATTGCTATACAGCTGAATGTAAAGAAGAATAAATTTCTTTGTATCGATAGAGTTTCTTCATTGAGCATCGGATGGAAATTGTGTATACATTTAAGATGTTGACAAAGTTTGAGGCATGCTGTAGCTAAACTTAACAAGCATTCTGAGAGTATTGCATTAGCAATACTAGTCCCCTACCGGTAAGTGTAATCTGGTTCACATGAAAAAATTTAAAATGTTGTAATTCCGTCTAAAAAAATCATTGAAGCGAAACATAATACAAACTTAATTTGTAACTCATCAAGATACACTTACATGCCAAAAATCAGCTCAATATCTGCAAGCGTTTAGAAAAAAAGTGCGGAAAACCCTTGAAAATTAAAAAGGCCGTAATTCCCTCAAAAATCAACGAAGTGGAACGAAATTCAAACTTGATCTGTAACTTATCAATATACACTCGCATACCAAAAATCAGCTCAATATCTGTAAGCATTTAGGAAAAAAGTGCGGAAAACCAAGTGGGACAGACAGACAGAGGGACAGACGGACAGACAGACAGACAGACAGACGGACGGACAGACTCAGAGGAAACTTATAGTCCCCTCCGGTTTCACCGGTAGGGGACTAATAATAAGAGGAGGTGAAATCGTATGAGATACTGGAATGTGTCCTTTGTTTCAGTTTCCTTCGATGGTGAATATGTTTACCAATTAATTCTGTGGGCTGTGGATCTTTATATATGCAAACTTGCGATATTTTTGATGAATTTTTAAAAGTACCGACATATGAACTCATGTGTGCTACATTATCATACTTTATGCACATAACCATTTGCGTGAATTGAAGAGAAAAATTAAAGTCATTTTTTATGCATAATTTGAGCGTATGTATAGCAATTTGTTATCCATTAATAAATATACATACATGTACAATAATTTTACTGAGAAGTGATCATTTTTCTTTCATTTTTTATAAATATAAATTTCCACCTTGTGACAAACATGTAAAGACAAATACATATTGTACTTTCTGACAGATTTTGTTTTATCAAATAAACTCTGCAATAGGACCACTGTAATGTATTCTGTCATATTGCAAAGTTTATTAAAATAAAAAAAAATCTGTCTGAAAGGATAATACATATCTTTAAAAAAAAGAATGAATGCTGACAATTTAGTATACATTCGGTTTCATGGAGTTTTACATGTGTCCTTTGTGATATTTTTTATTCCTTAAATAAAATCTGTAACATGACGAAAAGTCGTCACTTTGCATAAATAAAAGATGTGAGAAAGGACACATGTAGCGTCATTAAAAAGCGTATAAAAAAGGTCTCTGTTGGTGGAAAAGAGTTTTTTTTAACTTTTGATCGAATCGCACATGTAATTTAAAGGAAATTTCTTGTTTTATTTGACTTTTGCTTACTTTTTCTCTGATACATTTCTAAAAGTAAAACAAGCAAATTCGAAGAATTGTGGTCCTACGCTTTCGGTGTCTCAATGGTGAGGATGCAGTTATTTATGGCATATTGTAACTGTCTCGTTTGTGTTTTCTGTCTTGTCGGTGGATCAAAAGAGACATGAATTATTGAATTAATAACAGTTATGGCAACTTATGGCAAAGATTAAAGCTTCTGTAAATTGAAGGAAACTTGAAGATCAAGGTCATGAGGTCAAATATCATACTACAATCCAAAAGATATTGTTACAAGTAATGCACAGGTGAAAAAAAATAAATGAACGCCTTACTCTTTTGGAGCAAAAGTTATCATGGCAAAATTTAAAATTTTGATAAGTAGGTCAAAATTCTAGGTCAAGGTCATGACGTCAAAAATGATAGTTCTTTCTAAAAAGTTTGGTCATACGTAATATACAGTAAAAATATGAAAGCCCTATCTTCTCCTTTTCAGAAATTATGAACAATGTAAAAGTAATCTGAAAAAAAAACTGTAGGTTAAACTTCAAGGTCACAAGGTAAAAACCAGAGTATATTCGGAAAGGTCTAGAAACAGGAAATGCACGTGTCAAATGTATATGCCTTATCTTCTCTCAATCAAAAGTTATCAGCATTGTTCAAATCTTTGAAAATTAAGTCGCACTTCAAGGTCAAGGTCGAGAGGTAAAAAATCATAGTACATTTGGAAATGATTGTCACATGTAATATACAGGTACGTGTCAAATATTTATGCTCCATTGTCGCTACTTCAAAACTTAGCAGCTATGATAAAATGTTTGAAATTAGGTCAAACTTCAATGTCAAGGTCACAGGGTAAAAAAAGTTGAGTATATTTGAAAAGGTCTTGAAAAAGGTAATGTACATGTGAAATTTTCACATTCAAAAGTTATGACCAAGGTTAAAGTTTTTGTGACAGACAAACTGACAGACGAATGAGATTTATTGTCCCCTCGCTTTTGCGAAAGCGGGGGACAATTAAACAGAGTCTAGAATGTAGAGGCTGTAGGTGAAGTAGGTAACTCCACAATCTAAAGAAGAGATATTGCGAATTAGTAATATTGACATGTGTGAAGAGTAACTGCATTATAGTGAAATAAAAAAAAATGTTTAAATTATACAGTCTAAAAATGTAGAGGTTGTAGGTGAAGTAGGTAACTTTACAATTTAGAAAATGTACATTGAACTACTCCTTACGAATTACGTGACTGTACACGTATGGTGGTAAATAAGATAGATTTTTGTCGATGTTATGATTGAAAGGCTCAAATCAATCCTTAATGTGACCAAAATGTATCTAAAATATTGATCAATGAAACATTTACCTCTCTATTGAAAGATTTACTCGTGTAAGGGAATAAATTACAGTTATCACATAATTACTATCTAGGAAACATATTATACTTTTCTTATACCGATGCAATGTTGGTGATATCTAAATCTTAATGGAAAAAAGATTAAAAGATTAATGTCGAAATTTGAGGGGGAAAAAAACAAAACAAATTCAATTAGTTAGGGGCAGATGATAAATTGTTGTCCGAGATCAAAAATTAAACAAAAGCCGCATTATTTGCTTGAAACAATATTATATATAAGTAGTATTTAATTTATTACGGTGCAATGAATATATACTAGTACTTGATAATCAAATCTCAATCAACATTCATCACATTAAGTTTGGAGAGGGATGGGGAGGAGAGGGTGGGGTGGGGTGGGGGGGCTTGAAGAAACCTTAGATAACTCAATTAGATTTTTTTTTGGGGGGGGGGGGGTTCAATCTTTGAACTTTTGACCTCGACCAAGAGCAAACATTATATTTGATATATAAATGTAAAACGTTGAATATCTGGAAACCTGTGCATTGTGTAATATTGAAAGTGCTTATTGCATTAAAATAAATATTGGCAAAATGCTGGAATGCATCAGGAAGACTCTGGTATTTTATACGCTCCATGGATTAATGGCGTCCGGATTACCGAAGCGCCACTGTATCTTTAGAATAAACTATTGTCTATATGTGAGCACTATAATTTTTTTTACAAAGGTTGAAGTGATAAATTGTCTCATTTACTAATTAGGGCCAGTCTAAGCGCATTGTATTCTATTGTCAGACCGGAAAGCTTTTTCGTAAGTATGGTACATGTATAACATCTACCTTATGAATGAAATATATGAAAGATAACGAACAGTATTCAAGCTCAAAAGTCCATTAAACAATGCAAATTTTGGAGCAGAGCAAACATAGACCTCTAAAACATCAGAGGTGGGATCATGGAGGAGTGAGCACCCGCCGTATGCTCCTTGTCATGGTCGGGAAATAACAGAAAAATCCGTCGACAATTCAGTGTGTACATAATGACCTAACAATTAGTATGAAAAACGTCAGTCAGCATTTGACTTGATGATTGTTTGTATTTGCTGACAAGGTCATTGTATCGACCATAGAACTTACCAAATGATGACATTAAACGAGACTGCTGATATTCTTGTGCTGATATTTAACGTATTCGTCAATAACCTACCTCGTTTTAGAAATTCGTCATACGTAGAGCATGCTCTTGCGTATCGAATCAACTTAGAGATAAAAACCTCGTATGCAGGTGATAAAAGTATATTGCTCATAAGTAAGGGACGTTGACGATTGAAAAGTTAAAGTCATAACGTTTATCATAAAGCTTTGTTGTTAGATTAACGTCTTTTTCTAGTAAAATATCTAAATATGAAATATTTGTGTCTGATTCTGTGTTATCTTTTATTTCAAGCTCACCGGGATATATCGTGTCAACATAAGAATGGAAATAACCAATCTTAATTGACAATGCATCGTCGTTATATCTAAATGTCGAGTTGAAGACCATACACAGCAAGTGTTTTTGTCTTTTCACGTATGATTTTTAACAAATATTGCTTCATATGAAAACAAAAATAGGTCTGCTAATAACGGGGCGCAATTGGTACCCATGGGAATTCCAATAGATTGTTGAAAGACCTGGTTTCCAAAAACCACATAGATATTGTCAATCAGAAACTCAAGCATCTTTTTAACATCAACTTCAGAGTACATGTACTTGTACAATCAGAATGTTTTTTAACAAAATAATTTTGCAATTGACCAATGACAAAGTAAGTAAATTTACGAGTTCCATTTTTATTTTTAAAAAAAAGCAGCTGTCAGTGATGTCAAAAAACCTAGACTTTAATTTATCGTGGGGAATGGTTGTATATAAAGTTGAAAGTCGTAAGACTTTATGTTGCATACTTGTTAAATTTCAATGAAGCCGAGAGTAGGAAGAATCCATAACTTTGACACACATGTGTAGATACAGCTGTATGAG